CCATCCACAAAGGATCAAGTTTCGGACTACAAGTTCATTAACAACCAAAAAATACACATGCCAAAAAATACAACAATTAACACAATGAGTAAGACCCTCATTTCTCAAGTCTCAACACAAGATTTACAAGTCCATCCTATCTATCAAGATCATGGTTCCAGTTAGAGCTAGGGGAATTTCAGCAAAAAGAATTCCTTTCTAATTTCTATAAATCAAAGGACGAATAGTGAGTCGTAAGTAAACCAACAAGTTGGGACTATTTTCTCCTCGATACTTGGAGACTGGAGTGGAGTCCATATAAAAACTCCATCAGTACTGTGCACAATTATGGATGAACAGATGTTAGGGGAGAAATGAGATCAAGAACAAGTCTCTTTTTGACAAACTGATAAGATGTTAGGGGTAAAGCTTACCACCTTTCTTTGCTATTCCTTCAAACCTGCACGTGAACAATCGAATCTGCTCTCTTCTATCGTTTCTTCAACCGAGTTTGAAGAGAAAGAGATGGAATGGGCTACGCTTACTACCTTTGTTTTGTTAATAAACGGTCAKAGTTGAGTGAAGCTTACCACCTGTGCGTGTTCGGAATGAWGAGTGGGAGGTCAGTCTCATCTTTTCTCTCATTCCTTCAACCCAGATTGAATAGAAAGAGGATTAGGGAAATAGGAAGGGAAAAGGGTAAAACGGTCCAAATCTTTTCATAAAGGTTAGTTTTGGTATTATAAAAATGTTTAAACCGCACCTGATCTCACGTGATGATTCTAACTGACGGTGARTTAATGCTGGGTACTGGATCGTTGCAAATTGAAAGTTCGGATACTACAAAATACCTTCGAGAATTTTCTCATTTAATTAATCCATCGTTATTCCTTACCTTGTTTCCTTGCTTTTAACACTACTCTTCTCGTTATCTATTTCCATAGAATTGGATTCACGGTGTCGAAGTTGCCGCCAAGTCTGAATCGTGTGTCTAGGAACTCTGTTTTATTTACCAAGGAGGGTAGAGGATGGACCTTTGTCGAATACAAAAAAGTGTAGCAAMAGACTTACCCCCTCTCTCTCTCAACTCTGGAGACTGGACTTGAAGCACTGCATTACAATAATTAGAGGTGTAAATCGGATTGGGCTGCCTACGACCTGGCATGATTTTGGACCGCTCCGGTCCGGCATGGCACGATGGCTAACGGGTCGTGCCAGGCCCGGCACGGAGGTCCCTGCCGTGCTGGGTCGGGGATTTGAGGCCCATGGGCGGGCACGACTTGGTATGACAACACGTGCCGTGCTGCTCGCGGCCTGCGTGCCAGCATGGCACGAAGCACGACTTGCCCGGGAATATAGCCGTTGGGCCCCTTTGGGAGGGGGGCCCAACGACTAGTTTCAGCTTTTGGTGGGTGGTTTATAGAAATACCCCCCCCCAACAGCTATAAACAACCATATTAGGGGGCTATTTCTGTATTTTGCTTATGGGGGGTTGAAAAAATGACATAAATGCCCCCCAATAGCTATATAACAACTAGTTTATGGGGCATTTTGGGTAAAGTTATAAGTAACTTTACAATGACCAAAATACCCCTCCCAACAACTAAATAACAGATAGTTTTTTGGGTATTTTGGGCAATTGAATTATGTTCAATTCCTACAAATAGCCTTATCCTCCACCATTCTCATCACACCAATTCAACAATTCTCTTAATTCTCTCTCTCTCTCTCTCATACTCATACATTCTCAATTATCTACAATCTGAGAAATTCTAATTAGCTGATTGTCTAATTCTGCATTTTCCAATTCTCAAGTCTCAACTTTATCGAATTTTCGACTTTCAACAAGAAGAAGGCTTGCTCAACCAACTCAAGTATCTTAATTCGGGAGGCTTAGACGTTGAAAGACTTCAACCGTTGAAATCAAGTTGGGATTTTTAACCGGCAATCCGGGTAAGTCGAATTAGATTAATTTTTATCTTTTTAGAATAAAAAAAAATGGTCGACCCTTCTCAAAACCGATTTCCCAACATGTTCACCATGGATGATGAAAGTGGAAGTGGAACTTTTACCCCTGATAGTAGTGATACTAAGGAAAAAAGGGGGGCTTTTAAGCTAAGTAGCCTGGTTTGGAAAGTTTTCAAAGTAGAGGATATTGAGGGGAAGGGGAAAAGGGCCGTTTGCCAAAAATGTAGGAAAGACTTTAGTTATTGTAGCAAGGGTGGTACAAGTCATTTGAGCATACATCTGCTCACACATGAGCAAGAGGAAGATGAAGGGAGAGAAACAACCCAAACACAGATTGAAAGGGGGACTAGTTTTCGTACTTTTAGATATTCACAAGAAAAAATGAGACAAGAACTTGCTAAGTATATTGTACATGCAGAACAACCATTTATGTTAGCTGAAGATCCAAAGCTAGAAAAATGGTTGCGTAATTTTGTAAACCCACAATATAAAAAAGTTTCTAGGAATACTATAAGAACTAATGCTTTAAAATTTTTTATTCATGTACAAAATTTAATTTCTTTGTTAGCAAATCTTAATTCTAAAGTTGCAATTACTTCGGATGTTTGGACATCCAAATTTAATATTAGTTATATTTGTGTTACTGGCCACTTCATTGATGAAAATTGGCTTTGGAATAAAAGAATTTTAAGTTTTACTAGGATTGAATGGCCACATAGTGGCCCAACTATTGCTGCAAGTATTTTAAATACTTTGCATGCTTATGGAATAGAAAACAAATAGTTTTGATAATGCTAGCAATAATGATTCTGCAAAATATTTTAAAATCTCAAATTAAAACCATTCTTAAATGGTAAATTATTTCATATTAGATATGCATGTCACATCTTAAATTTATGTATTCAAGATGCCTTGAATATTATTTCAAATCGTATTTCAAAAATTAGAATTTGCATTACATGTATAAAAAGTTAAGGGGCAAGAAAACAAGAATTTAAATATTTATGCCAAAATTATGGTTTAAAATATAAACATTTTATATTAGATGTAAAGCATAGGTGTAATTCTACCTATGCTATGTTAGAAAGTTGTATATCTCATAAACAAATTCTTTCTGACTTTTATAATTTAAAAATGCCTAATGATATGATATTTGAGGAAGACTGGGAAATKRCARTCTRYATAAGAGATTTTTTAAAACATTTTTATGATGCAACAAATGAATTATCTGGAATTTATTATCCAACTAGTTGTAATTTACCATATCAATTAATAGTAATTAGTGATTATTTTGCCAAATATAGAAATAATCCACAATTTCAATGTATTGTTGAAATTATGGAAATTAAATTTAAAAAATAGTGGGAGAACATTTCTCCCCTTTATTGTTTGGCAACAATATTAGACCCTAGGATTAGGAAAGATGGTTTAGATATTTTACTTAAAACATATTATGAAAAAATGAATATTGATATAGGAAATAAAAAAGAAGAAATTAATAATTTATTATTTGAAATGTACAGTTTGTATGAATTAATAATTTATTATTCGTACAACTTGTTCATTTTCTTCTTCTTCTCCTTTTGACTTTGAGCCTAGTAGTAGAAGAGAAAAGCTTTTTTATTTAATAAGTAGAAGGTAGAAATTTGCTAGTTCTACAACAAGTTCATTTACTGAACTTAATTTTTATTTGCAAGCAATTTTTTTCTAATTTAGGTGAAGTGTTAAATAATTTTGATATTTTTAGCCTGATGGAGTGAACACTCGAAAAATTATCTGGTTCTCGCCTGGCACGTGACCTATTAACCCCTCCAGTTTCTACAGTTCCATTGGAGTCTTGTTTTACAAGACAAGGGAGGGCATGATACAACACCAGACATTTCACCCGAAGCAGATGATGAAAGTCATGAATGATGATTCATGAATTTGACTACTTGTAGAATTTTTCATTTTTTCAAATTATTGTAAAATTTTTAAATTCTTTTAAATTTATTTGATATATATTTTTTTAAAATTTTTAACAATGTAATTTTGTATTTTCAATTTGTAACCATATTGTATTTTTTATATTTTATTAATTTATTCCATTCATCCAAGTATGCAATGATCCAATCATTGTATTTGTAATTCACTAATTTGTACCATTCAAATTTAAATTAAATAAAATTTTTATTTTTCTTCCAATTTGTTATTCCATCATTCTAATAATCTTATTTCAATTTGGTTAAGTATTTTTTTATTTATGTATTAAATAACTTAGATTTCTCATTTCTTAATTTTTTAAATAGTTCCTAATTTTCAAAGTTCATAGGAAAGTTAAATATTTTAGTTTTACAATTTTACTTAGAATAGAAATCAAAATTTTTGAAAAAAAAAACAGCACAACTCGGCTTGGCCTAGGCCCAAGGCCCACCTTATGGCCTAGCCCAGCATAGTCCAAGCCCATGGTACGGCCGACAGCCGGGCCCGCATGCCGACATGGCACAACATAGGCCCGCTTTGATTTGAGTCGTGGACCATGTTAGTTCAACCCCCAAAATTTCCACCAGAGAAGATGGCACAACCCATGGCATCCCACGGGCCAACACAGCAAGAACCACCTTTAGGGCGGGCCGCCCACAAGCCGTACACGGCCCACTTTACACCTCTATGAATAATGCCAGTAATGAGTAAAGCAGTGCCACACACACTAGCACCATTAATTAACTAAATAAAATATAGAGTTGAAGTTGATGAATACATGCATGCTGTAGTGTAGTATCCCTAATTACTTAGACCCTAACCAACTACCAACCCGTTTAAATTTTGAATTTATAACCCATTTATTTATGTAAAGTATTTCTGACGCAATGTGCTGTCCTAGTGTCCTCACCTTTCCCTCTCTCCGACGATTACAGATTACTCCTAGTCCTGGTCCTAGAGTGGGTCCTAATTCTTAACTCCTGACCCTAGGGCTCAAGGCTCTACGGCTCAAGTCAAGAGCCGAACCATCCCTTTCAGAAATCAGGAATGAGGAATTCAGAATTCAAATTCATCATTCATCATTCATCATTTATCATGGTCGTCGTCAATCAGGTCAATCTTAAAAGCATAAAGTCCTCCTTCCAATCAAAAGCTTACCTCTCTGGTTTCATCTTGATAACGTGAAACCTGATCTACAAGGTGCTAATAATGTAACCCACCTGAGTTTCAAAAATTTTCCCTCCCTTTTCCCTTTCCCTCGTAGGCAGGTTCTTTCTTTTTCAGTTCTCAGTTCTCACTCGCTGCTTGCTCTCCCCTGCTAGTGCTAATGAAGGAGAAGAAGTAGCCGTGTGTCTGTGTGTAAACTGTAAAACCTCAACAAATATAAATTCTAACGTCCCAATCCCGTGGACCCGTGAAGCAGACTAGCAGAGGGAATTAACCACCTTATTTTAAATTTTAAATTTTAAAATTTTTAAATTTCAAGGGTTTTGGTCGAGTTCACTCGTCTCTGTCTGCTACTGCTTCGGTGCTTATTTCTCTGTTTTCCCGTCTTCCTTCCCATATGGGTTGCGTCTCTTCCACTTTGCTCGATCACGACGACGAATTCTCCCATCTCGCCGGCTCTGGACTCGGTCACCATATCGTTTCTCTCACCTCCACCACCTATGGTCTCCTCACCCTCGACCCTCCCCCTCACGCCGATCACCACCTCCTCCCTCCAACCCCACCTCGCTTCACCCTCGGTTCCCTCTTCCCAAGCCCTCTCCCCGAACTTAGGTCCCTCCGCTCCGAACCTGAAGTCATCAACTCCTGGGAACTCATGGCTGGTCTCGATACCGATAGCTTTCGCTTCTCCCCCACCCCACCCACCAAACCCTCCCCTCCCTCTCCTCTCCACACCATTTCAGAGATTGATTCACGCCTCTCCAGACCTCCCAAACTCTCCACCGTCAAAGACTATACCAATGCCGATGCCAACAACAAAGAAAACTCAAACCCAAATCGGTCAGTCACCTTCGGAATCCTCTCCGGTCATGCTGTCAATGTACTCAAGCCGGTAAACAACAACGCCGGCACACCACCTTCTGTCAAAAACTTGCTCGATGGGTTCGAGAAGCGATGCCCGCCAAATGGGGAAAGCAAGGTAGTGATTTATACCACCACCTTAAGAGGTGTGCGGAAGACATTCGAAGCTTGTAACGCCGTAAGAGCAGCCCTAGAAGGGTTCGGGGTTTTGATTACCGAAAGAGATGTTTCTATGGATCGTGGGTTCAGGGATGAGCTGAGGGAGTTGCTGAAAGGGAAAGAAAGTGGGGCAATTGTTCCCCCTAGGGTTTTTGTAAACGGAAGGTACATTGGAGGAGCCGAAGAGGTTTTGAGATTACACGAAGAGGGGTGTTTAGCCCAACTTCTAGAAGGGCTTCCCAAGGCAACAGTTGGGGCTGTCTGTGAAGGTTGTGGAGGTGTGAGGTTCTTGCCCTGCTTTCAGTGCAGTGGGAGCTGTAAGCTTGTGATGGTAGTGGAGGAACAATCGCAACACCAACCTCCAGGTAGCGAAGTGGTCGTGAGGTGCCCTGATTGCAACGAAAATGGGTTGGTGCTTTGTCCCATTTGCAGCTAATCGTTGAACAATTTTAATCTTGTAGGTAAATTTAATCCTTCTTACTATCATATAGAAATCCTTCTCCGATTTTTAGTCGGGTTTTCTTGTATCTATGTTCTATATCAGAATTAAGAGGTGAAATCTTTTTCTCCCTTTTCTCTTCCATACAACATGTAGCGAATCGTCAAAGAGATTTAACCTCGAATCCGTTTGGCGATCTGTTTGACATGGTAATCTATCCCAATTTACATGTTGGGTTTGATATTGTAATACTGTTTCGGAAATTTGAAATATGTCCTCATTTTCTTCTCGCTGCTGCACAAGTAGCTTATCATCAAATCATTTGAAATATATCTGAACATCTTCGGTTCTTGTCTTTATAAAATTCTATAGTTACTAGTTTGCTGTAATTGCTTTAACAAGGGTCCCATTATCAATTTGTCATCTTTAATTACTAATGAAGGATTAAAAAATTTTCAATGCAAAAAATGTAGATCTGTCAAACAGAAAAGAAGGACCTACTGCTGCTTTTCCATAAGATCAGTAGGTCTATACTTTACCCTCTGGCAGGCAAACCTGGAACTTGGAAGTAGCATCTTTGCAATTATGTAACACGACCGGTGACTGATCATTTTCATCCACAGAATGACAGAACAATGGAGTGAAAATTGGAAGTTGGTGCAGGCTGACAGATAGTAGGTGGTATTTTTATGAATGATTTCGACTTCGAAGATGTCAGGGATAGAAGGTTTTGGATGTTTAATGGCCGGCCTCTCTGTTGAGGAAATGGTGTTTGGATGTCTGGAATGTCTTGCGATGCTCCATTGCACATTTCTGATGAGATGGATTTTGTCCCTCAAATTCCAATATCTGATATACTACTGCTGTTATTAGGTTATCTTGAAAACATTTACAGATTCACATACATGGTGGTTCTGATAAGCCTGTACAACAAGGCCCAATTAAGCTGAAAGAACGGATGAATCATTTACGGATTCGTTAGTGACAAAGTATAATAACGTATTTGGACAGCCAAAACAGTTGAAACGAAGGTTTAATGGTTGGTTGCTTCAAGGTATCACTTCAGTAAGTTTTTCTTGTTTTGAACCACCCATTTCCTGTCTGCTGCATTTACTGAAGAAGTGAAGATGTTAAGAATGAAGGAAAGACATTGTTTATGAGAAACTACTTGTTTGTTGATTTGAAATGCGTTAGATTACATATTTAGGGTCCATTGGTATAAGACCTTACTTTCCATTTTCCAAGTCCCTGATTTCGTCTACAAATGGAATCATATCGCAGATGATAGTAATACATAAAGGTGTATAATTTTGATAAATATTTTCTCACTGTTTACCTATGCTCTTTAATTTTGTGATTTGAAGGGGCCGAGCTGTCTTAAGAATCCTTGACAATATTATTTCACAGTATGCCATGTGTGAAAAGGGAAATCAATGAGAAATGATTTTGCAATCAAACATATTCCCAGGAAAATGACAAGAGGAATGGTAGCAATTAACAAGGTGGTACTGCATTGCAGCACCTTTGTAACCTCGTCAAAAGGCTGAAAGAAAACCTGATCGAACTTGATCCGGTAATAATTTCCTTCTACTTTGAAAGTAATTGGTGTTGATTGCTCAGGGATTGCTTACAGAGATTCAAGTTTGAAGGTGGGACTGGGAGACCCCAAGTTGAAGACACCGGGATGGGATTATGGTAAGGAATACAAAAACGGTAGGTTTAATCTGTTGTTAATTAAAAGAAATGCCACAGTGACAGCAAATTCCTCCCTGTCACCTTCATTTAGAAGCTGTTTCGGAATATATGGGATTTATCATGAAAAAAGTGGTTGTTAAATGTTTTTTTTTTTTTTTTTTTTATGTTTTATAGTCAGGTGCCATTATATGCTATTAGGCGCCAGTGCCACCACATAAGCTAAACAGTAAATAAGCGCCTTGTGTTAGAGGAAACATTAAACATTAAACATTTAGCAAATAGTATTTCAGAATAAATGTCAATGTGACAATTAGGCCTGTTCATGGGCAGGGTAGCCTGACGGTTTGCCCCTGGATGGGCTTGAACACACATTTGAGCCCACGGGCTTAAAAGCCTGAGCCTGACTATGTTGTGGGCTGGGCTTGGGATTTGTTAAAACAGCCCGGCCCGGCCTGACCTATATGTTAAACTAAAAAACCCTAATATCTTAACCCCTCTTCTCATTCATCTCTTTCTTGTCTAAGCCAGTTACTCGAACCTTTTCTTAGTTTTCACAATGACTCACAACCTCACACTCTCAAGCAAACACAGAACCGGTGCAACCAGTAAACTTCGGCAGACCGACGTGAGTCCTCTCTCTCTCTCTCTTTCTCTCGTTCCTCTTCTCAGTTCTCACTTCTCTCTCAAATCTCAGACGCGAACTCAGGCACCGGTGAGGTGGCGAACACAAGCACCGGCGGTGGCAGTGAGTCCTCTCTCCTCTTCTCACTTCTTCTCTCTCAGAATCTTAGACGCGAACTCAAGCACTGGCGAGGTGGCAAACATAGGCACCGGTGGCGGTGGTGAGTCCTTTCTCTCTATTCTCTCTCTCTCTCTCTCAGACGTGAACTCAACACCGATGAACACAGTCACTGGCGGTGAGTCCTTTCTTCTGTTAGATTGGACTTTGGGCTCGGGCTCAGGCCTAACAAAATCCTGTTTATGAAAAATAAAAGCCTAGCCCAAGCCCGGCCCATGAACAGATTTAGTAACAATGAACTAACACTGTTTTTTAAATAAATGGCAATTGAACTAAACATCACCTTACTTAAACACCTTTAGAAATATTAGTGGGGTTGTAAAGAGAATAAAACAAAGACTTCCTATAAATTTTATTGTTAACTGACACAGCCGATGCTTAGGTGCTTAGGTAGTGTGGGCTATTATTAGGCTTTTGTTTTTCAGAACTGTTTCACCTCAACATTTGCCTGGTTTTAAGGTTATTAACTTGTAAGTTAAGAGATCGACGTAATATCTCCCTACTTGTATGTGTTGCACTGAAGCCGATTTTCTAAGTTAAATACTTAAATTGATGCTTAGATTGATGAACTGTTCATTTGTAATGCCAATTTCTTTCTTTCTTTTTTCTTTCCGCCAATTTCTTTTTAATGCCAATTCTGCTTACAGCAATTTCATATGTTCTTAATTTCCTATCCGTCCGGCACTGTTATTTATTTATTTATTTATTTTCTGAAGGTCCAGAAAGGCGATTTATTTTCTGAAGGTCCCTCCCTCATCAAGAATGATGGAATTGATGCAAATGCAATCCGGTACCTCGTCTTCTTAAAGCAGTCTCCTCTTTAAATTCACAGCTTCCTTAGCCGAACGATGGATGAGTTACATTATTATATTCTTTTCGAAGTTTAAACATAATAATGTGTTGTAAAAATAATAAAGAAGGCAGAATGGAACTTATCGGTAATCGCTTTTTAAGTTAAAAATGCAGAGATGTGATGTTGCAGAAATTCGAAACTGCATTTGCTCCTACAGTGCAGTTGGGTGATCGTAAATCAGTCGCCAAGATAAAACAGCCCATAAGCTTTTATTATGCGTACACTTGCTTATTAGACCTCTGCGAACCACAGAAAAGATGATGCTCAGATTACGAAGAAGACTTGTTGAGAATTGATCTGTGTGAAACTGGGTCAACCAACATCCTTTTTATAGATTGGTCTCAAACCCGAATGGACACAGAGGTGTCCTTTCAAATAGGAGCCTCTTCAGAACAGTGCACCTGTTCGAAGAGGCACAAGGAGGAAGAAGAGACACGAAAAAAAAAACGTTTAATTCGGTTAAAACAAAATGATTCAGTGCACCCGTGCCTCGACCTGACCCGTCGAGCGCGTGTGAAAAGCACCCCTAACAAAACTATAGTGCTCTCCTCCAATGGGTTCCTACCCATAGAGATAACAAAACTACAAATATATTCTACTTCCACTCTTTTCCCAAGCAATGTGGGAAAATGAGTCTTCCCATACACTTAAGGTTAGGAAGAGGAAAAGAGGGAAACAAGAGAGGGAGGAGAGAGATTCTTGAAAATTTGAACCCTCCAACAATCCCTCACAAGATTCAAAATTACAAGAAGATTGAACAATCTAAGCATCGTAGTGAGAAAAGTATTCATGGTGATGTCTTTTGGACTTCAATCAGCATTTAGGTATGGTAGGCTATGTTACAGAGTACAGGTGSAGTCAGACTCCTTCAACTTTTCCTCTTTGTCGTAATTAACTAACCGGCCAACCAACTCAACTCACCAATTCTTTAATGGTTCTTTTGTTTTGGAACATTTCAGCATTGTTCCCCTCTTGGAATCATGAGTGTTTTAGAGAGTCAACCCTATATATCTCTTAGAAGTAGCTACACTTACACTCACTTAGATCAGTTATAAGCGTGCACTGTACACACCATTCATAACATATTAAGAGCCTCATGCTCAACCTCCTCAAATTGCAGTGAGCACTATCTTACCTCGGCATTTGAAATGGGACACAAATTGATAATGCTTTCTCAAATCATCTAGTGACTCGTTTTTACCCATTCAACCTAATTTCAGGGATCTCCTTTCACATAGGTTGGATTTCCATCACTAATGACTTTGTAACGGGCTTCAACCCCATTCCTACCGTTGCCTCATAAACCATGTTAGAAGTTTGTGGTTTGGTTAACGAATATGCAAGGTTCTTTTCAGACCTTACAAAATCTAGAGTGATTATACCTTCGCTGAGGTATTGTCTTATTTAGTTATGCCTTAAGCGGATGTGCATTCTTTTACCATTAGATGTCTGGTTTTTGGCTTTGGCTATTACTGTTTGGCTATCACAATGGAGAGATGGAATCGACCGTGGCCAAAGTGGTATATCTGCCAACAAGTTCCTTAACCACTCTGCATCAGGCCCCACCAATTCTAGTGCAATGAACTCAGCCTCCATTGTTGAACTTGTATTGCATGACTGTTTTACCGATTTCCACGATACTACTCCTCCACCTAGAGTAAACACATATCCACTGGTGGAAGTACTACCTTTGAATCTAAAATTCAATTCGCATTAATAAAGCCTTATAAAATAGGAGGAAAACCTAAGTAGTGTAAACCAAAATTTATGGTTCCTTTTAAATATTTTAATAATATTACTTAAGCTTCCTAATGTTCATTTCTAAGATTATGAGTATGCTGACTTAATTTTTCCACAGCTATAACTATGTCTTATCATGTATAGTTCATTAAATAAGATATATATCCAATTATACTTGCATACTCCTTTTGTGAAACACGTTCTCCTACATGTTTCTTTAAGTGAATACTACAGTCAATAGGTGTTTTAATTGGTTTAGAGTCATAGTGTTCAAATTTCTTAAAAATACTCTCTACATAGTGTGATTGGGAGAGAATTAAGTTTTCTTGTTGTTTATGAATTTTAATCCCCAAGATTATATCAGCCTCACCCAAGTTCTTGGTATCAAATTTGGACATTAAAAATTGTTTTATTTGTTTTACTACCTCTAGACTAGTTTCCATTATTAATATATCATCAATATATAAATAGATCATGATTCCTTTATTATTTTCAAATTTGCTATAGACACATCTATGAGAATCATTTATGATATATCCATTAGTTATTAACACATTATCAAAATTTTCATGCCATTGTTTGGGAGCTTGCTTCAAGCCATACTGAGACTTAATTAATTTACATATTTTATTTTCTTCTCCTGGCATTATAAAGCCTTTAGGTTGCTTAATATATATTTCTTCATCTAATTCTCCATTTAAGAAAGTTGTATTCACATCCACTTGATGAATTACCGGTTTTTAAATGGATGCTATAGCAAACAAAACTCTAATTGTTGTTAACCTTGCAATCTGGGAGTAGGTGTCAAAGATGTCTACATCTTTCTTTTGTCTGAACCCTTTAGCAACTAACCTAGTCTTGAATTTATCTATTGTACCATATAGTTTTAGTTTTTTCTTAAAAATCCACTTACAATCTAGTGCCTTAGTTTTAGGTGGGAGATCTACAAGTTCCCAAGTGTGATTAGTGACTAAAGAGTCTATTTCACTTTTTATGACTTTCTTCCAAAATACTGCATCAGGTGAAGTTACAACTTCTTGAGAGATTAGTAGGTCCTTGTCCACCAGAAATGTGAACATTCTATCACCCAAGTTTGTTTCTCTTCTTTGTCTTTTACTTTTTCT